TCGAAAATAACAAGCCCATTCACAGAAAAAAAGGTAGAGCTGGAGCAGGGGGCTAACCCTCCAATATCCAATCTCACCAGTATTCCCAGAAAGATTACTGCAATAAATTTCATAAGTCATATCTCCACAAAACCCCCCCCAAGCCAAAACCCGACGCAAGACTCATCTGCAAGGCCACCAAAGTGTATTAGAGTCAACCCCAACCGTAGCCAAAGTAAGGAGCCCTGGTCCTCCCAAGTTATTCATCTTATACGAGGCAATGGAGCCCTGGGCCTCCATGCTAGTATTATAAAACCATCCACCATGTGAAGCATAAATAGATGTCGCCTGCTCCACAGAAAAGCAGGCAACCAAAGCACCCAGAGATAAAGAAAAAGGAATAAAAACAGCCCAAAGAAGAGCTTGGGCCGAAACAAACCACCCAGCAAAACAAAATAAGTTAAGAGGAACCATCCCTACAAATATAAGGAGCATCGATGTTGTCACCAACCAGCAGAGTGTGTAAAGAGGGGAGGAAGTAGATCGGGAGTAGATTCCACCCTACAAATATCAGTGGAGCTACCTAAATTGGCAAGCCAATTAGCGGGTTGGTTCCCCGGTAATTGAAACTCCACATGACATTCATATTGGAGATTAAACATTTAATTCTCTTTATATAATAAAGGATATCCCAAGGGGCCTCGGCATCATTTGCCAAAATATCAATCAAGATGCGATTATCACATTCAAAAATAATAAAATGTCAGCTGAGAGCGTGAGTCATAATAGCAGCCGTTAAAATGACCCTAGCCTCAGCCTCTATGCGAGTATCAACATATGAAGGAGATAAGAAGAAAAGAATATAGTTCCCTGCATAGTTTCTAGTAATGCCCCCACAACCAGCACCATTGGCTTTCCAACTCCCATCCGTGTTAAACCATCCGTGTTAAACTTAATCCACATCCCCCCCCTAGGAGGTGGCCGCCATCTAACCAAAATCGGTGGATGAGGGAGCCTCCTCTCATCCAAATTCGTATGTCCCATAGAAAGAAAATAATTGATGCCCGAAAAAAAACTTTTTTTAAAGCTCCCCATTCTCCACAGCTTATTAATGTAGGCAATAATATTAGTAAAAATCATCATACTCTGAATGGTCTTACCTTCATGAATAATGTCATTACGAGCTATTCAGATAAACCAACATATGATGTAAGAGTAAATTTGCAAAAAATGTTTCTGCTCACGGTCCAGATTGCAAATAATGGTAGTGAGCAAAAGATTCCACTCAGGAGTGACGATAGTACCAAACCACAAACCAACCTTACTTCATATAAATAGTGAAAAGGGACAAGAGAAGAAAATATGCTCTATAGTCTCCTCCACCGAATTACACAAACAAGAATGAGAGGCTATTCTCAAACCTTTCAACTTTAATATATCATCACATGGTATTATAGAATGGAAAATGCGCCACGCCAGGAAAGACATAGAGGGAGTTAATGCCCAACTCCACACCCCTTCACCCCAAGGGAGAGTTTAAAAATTATGTAAAGAGGCATATAAAGATTTAGTAATGGAGCTAGACATGGGAAATTTCAAAGTAGGAGTATCTTGCAAATGAAGGTCAAAAGGAATAGTGGAAATGAACGTAGCACCCTCCATCCCCAAAATGCTAGTGAGAAGAGGAAAACTCCAATGGTCATCTACCCAAGTATCTGACACCTTGAGACTAGAATACCTCGTATCCCTCATATCAAGCAAAACATTGTACCAACAATCATGCCAGAAAAAAATATTTCCAGCACCCACCTCCCAGTAAATGAAATTCTTCGCTCAGTCTCTAATATGAAACAATCTCATCCACATCGTGGAATTACCCAATCGACAATTAATCAAAGCAGGATGAGAGGAACGACAATACTTTTCGTGCATGAAATTAACCCATAAAGACTCGTCTTTCTTGAAATTAAACAATTGCTTAAAAACATTAATATCAATAATATGGTGCAGAGATTTGAAGCCCAAACCACCAGCATACAGCGGTTTGCAAACATCCTTCCAAGACATCCATCTTCTGCCAGAGTAATTTCCCACCCATAAAAACTTATTGAAACATCTTTCAAGGTTCAAAATAGTACTTTTTTGGGTTGGAGTACTTGAAGAGTGTATAAAGGAAGAGAGTGAAGGATGCTCCTGAGCAATGTAATACGACCCCAAAAGGAAAGGAAATTATTTTTCCAATCCAAAATTCTTTTCCGCACCTTTTCCACTACTTCATCAAACTGAATGCGCCTCTTCCTGCCTTTAAGGAGAAAAACCCCCACATATTTAAGAGGAAGGGTAGAGAGGAAGAAGCCCGTAAAATTGGCAATCCAGCATGCATTAGAACGATTGACCATGTTTCTCAAGTAGATGTTACATTTATTAGCATGAAATAGTAGGCCAAATACGGATTGGAAGTTAACCATTAAGATGTGAATCTCCTTCACCGTTTTTTTGCTAGCATTAGAAAACAGTATCATGTCATCGGCATAAGCTAAAGGAGTGACCACCATGTTAGAATTATGAGTGTATTGCAAATTGGGATTTCTCCTCAAAAGATTATTTAGGAGACGAGAGAGATAATCAAATATTAAAATGAAAATAGTAGGGGATAAATGATCTCCCTACTTAATCCCACGACCCGCGCTAAAAAAGCCCCGAGACTCGCCATTAATGAGAATACTATATTTATTGCAATGAAGCCAAGAGAAAATAATTTTGCAAAACTCCTAAGAGAAACCTCGTGCCTTAAGAACCTTCAATATAATTTCCCAACTAAGAGAATCATAAGCCTTACAGATATCAAATTTAGTGATCATTTGATGGTTAACCCAAATCATAACGGGACTGATATTATTGTCGAAATTCGAATAGAATATCCCAAACAATCAATTGAAATAGAAAAAACAATGGCAAACACAAATACCCCACTAGGTCGAGGTTTGAAGGTGGTGGTTGCGGTTTGAGGGGAAAACTGAGGGGGAAACTGAGAGGTATAGGCGGTTGAGTGGTCGAGCAGCAGCTAGGGAAAGGCTGACCTGCGGCTGGACAATAGCGGAGAAGTCGAAAGAAAGGTGCGAAGGTGGCAACAATAAGGGAAGTGAGGATTGTAGGGTTTTCAAGCAGACAGACAGTAGGTTAGTGGCTGCATGGGAGTCTGTGAAGGGCGGCAGCAGGTTGAGGTGATTGTAAGGAAGGATGGAAAAGTAAAGGGAGGAGAAAGAAGGTGGCAGGGAATTGCGGTTGCAGGAAAACAATAAAGAGGTTGATTTCTGGTGGCAGTAGCAAATAGGGTAAGGGTGGGGACGAAAGAAAGGTTTTGGGAGAAGAGAAATCGAATATAAACAACCCTGTGGGATCAAACTATAGTTGAAGCACCATTCGAGCCTTGGGAAACGATCATCACCTCAGACAAGTTACAGTCGTAGCACTTTCTCACCTTCAGATACAACTCTAGCAAGGAAACACTGGAAGCCAACGATTGTCCCGAACAAAAACACACACAAAACTGACCTAAACACGAAAAAATAACAAATATATAGTCATTGGGTAAAGAGGAGTGATCTCCGCTCCAAATAAAAAGGAAATCCATGAAGAGAAAGTCAAATAGCCCTCATGGACCAGTCCAAGCCGAAAAATTTTGCGACACTGTAGCAGGGATCGCAGACGGCTCCCTACGGAACCAACTCCATGTAGTACTGTAGCAATTCGTTATAGCGGTGGTGTGAAAAGAGGGATTTCAAATGCTCCCGTGTCAACATGTGTCACTCTGGGTATCAATTTCATAAGAAACTTCACTTTCATGCCTAGATGGCTTGTATTTATTGTTAATCATGATGCTTTCACACTTTTCAAATACAAGTTAGTGCAAATTATGACATGGCGTGAACTCAGTCAACAAAGCTCAAAGAAACACTGCTGGCAACAAAAAATAAGTTACTTAAAGCAATTTGATGTGCATAGACAATTGTATAGGAAATGGCATAGGCAAAAGTAAAGGGGAAAAAAAGGAAATTAAATAAAAACAAGATAGAGCTTATCAACTTTTTTGGTCATCCTTTGAAAATTAAATTTTGATTTTTTTAACATGTGGAAACCTATCCCTAATATTTTATTTAAAATAAGATAGGTCAAAAAATAGTTACAAATTTAAACTCATTTTGGAAACTAGAGAATTACTTCATGCCGCATGCCAGCATCCGCCAAACCTTCAACCTAAGACAAAATACCCTACAAACTGAGTATGTTGCTAAGCCGAGGCCCTATGTTGAAAAGTCAATTTTGATGTTTGTTATGGCTGAGATTTTTTTTTAGTCTTACATGCTGCACTTTCCAAAAGAATTTGATTAGTTGAATTAAGGTGGAAAGAGGATTTTAGGGCATAAGCTCCACTGTCCAGATTCTCCCCTCTTCAGATGAAAACTTAAGTAACTTCTTTGAATCATTTAGAAAATTTCTGTTTCATTATTGTTTTATAATAGATGTTATAATTCTTTTACTGTTATAATTTGATCATATGGATTGGTTAAACAAGAACTTAAAGAACTCTGCACATATGAAAAAGTCAAAAGAAAAGCACATAGGAGCATAAGAAGCTGTCATATAAATTGGTATTAATAAGCGTGTCACCTGCCTGCACATATATATGGCCCAGCACGAAGCATCACAAAAAATCCTAATTTTTTAGTAAGGTTTAGAAACGATTCAATATTTGCAATGCCATCAAAAACCCACTTCTCAGGGAAAGGTTCATGCAAATTCCACGGAACATACGTCTGGATGGTATTCAAGCCCAATGCTTTTGCCCTTAGTAGTCTATCCTCCCAATACTGCATGAATTTAAAAGCACATAGTGATAAATATAAAGCAAGATTAAATCTTCACAATAAAGATTGGCGTAGGGGCGGGCGAGGAAGTAAGGAACAGGTGAGGTGTACACAGAAGAAAATCGATAATTTCTTTGAAGAGATGGAACGGTAAAACATAAAGATTTACAGTTATAACTTCAATCACTGAAAATGACAAAATCATTTAAGAAAGGAAAGAGAATGATTTCAATAATAGCTAACATAACAACAATGACATGTTGGCAATGCCTCCTTGATTAATCCCATTAATCCCTACGTAATTAACATTTTGTGCATTAGCAAATACCCTTTAAGTTCAAATTCTTTATGTATCAATTTCTAAAAATATCTAAATTCATATTCATAAAATAAAAAAAGGGTAGAGAGCGTGTCAGGTCTAACCTGAATAAATAACTAACTGAGGTGGACTAGAGTGTTGTGGGGGTGGGGGGTGCGCTCTCTCTCTCTCTCACACACACACATAGGTGCTCTCTCTCTCTCGCTCTCTCTCTCACACACACACATATCAAATATCAAGGTAAGTTGGTTACAATTGAAGGTAATTTGTGGCATAAATTAGGAACATCACTTTGAAATAAACACAAAGAATGAGTTTATGCGTGAAAATTTTTTTCTACATGAGTTATGACTAACTTGCTAGTGGATTTAACACAACCTACTAATCACAGCATAAAAAAAAAAAGAGCAGAAGTGATTAAGGCGGTTACCCAGGAATAACCACCTCCCCATAACAAATTTAGCTGAAAATTATGAGAGAGTTGACTTGGACTCAAAACGGCATATAATATATTCAAGAAAAACTATCTGTTATAAAGATTCTTAAAGCAACATATAACATTTTAAATTATTAACATTAATGACGAGTGTAAAGCTGAAGACAGGCCTCAATCAAAACTGACTTCTAATTTAAGAAAGGAAAGTGCATTTAATTATATTCAAGTTAATAGCAGAGTTCTAGCAACAATTGACACTTCAGAAAGCCTTCAATTTTCGGACATTTTGAAGACAATTAAGCCAAAAGAACAATTAGGAAGGATAGGATACAATGTTTGAGGCAGCATTCACCATGTCTCTCCTTTACCATTAATTAACAAAATCAGTTAACTAATATTCACCCCTAAGGGAGAACCCGCACGCACAGCAATTTACGATTCAGTATCAAAGGAGGCTAAGAGATGGAGTGACTTTTGGAGGACATTTTGACATGGGGATGAATGCAGATTTACAAGTTACTAGATTTTGAGGGGAGGATGAATTTGCATGAGTTCATATAGTGGTTGCAGACAGTTAAGAAAATTTTTTAGTATAAGGATATGCCAGCTGATAGTTGGGTAAAGCTTGTTTCCATAAAGCTGAAGAAGAGTACTTCTTTGCGATGAGAGAATCTGAAGAGAGTGAGAGAGTGAGACAGCGAGAAGGTAGAAACAAGATCACTGTTTGAAAGAAGATGAGAGAGATGCAAAGGAAATATCTACCCTCACACTAAAACCAGGACATGTTCTTGAGGTTGCATCATTTACATCAGGGGGAGTTATCAGCATAGGAGTTCAAAGCATAATTTGAGCAGCTCAAGCTAAAATTTGAGCTGAGGGAGCCAAAGAAGAAAACTATAGTCAAGTATTTAAAAAGCTTGAAGACAGCCATTAGCCATATCATTAAGCTATAGCCTTACTGATCGTTGAGTGATGTTCAGACATTAGCCTTGAAGGTGAAGAAAGAGAAGAAGTAGATCACGATCCTGATGTCATTCAGACAGTCACCCACAGTAAGCAAAGCCAGTAAGAGTACACCTAAGAAAGGTGTGAAAACTATCCAGAAACATAATAGAGCATATTAGAGCGAGAAGAAACCCAAGAGGAGCAGTACACCGAGCACAATGCCCGCAAGAAAGTGTTTCAGATGTCATAGTTTTGGACATATGGCCTCCAGTTGCCTTACTATCAGAGTTGTCTCTTTCACTGAGCAGGGACCAATAGAAGGAGTGGGCAAGGTTGTTGGATACAAAGAAGATAGAAAGAATATGCAAAATTACCAACTTCCAGTTTATGAGGGCGCAAATCATGTGGTTAGACAATTCTTCGGATTAAGGCTAGGAGAGAATAGCAATGGCTTCGCCACATCTTTTATACACATTGCACAATGCAGGAAAAGGTGTGAAGCCTTATCATCGATCGAGATAGTAATGAGAAATGTGATATATACACAAACTGTGTAATAACCATATAAAATAATAATAAATACGCAAGAGACAAAAAACCAAGGGAGGTCGGCTCTTGCATGAGAAGAAGACGTCCTGCAGAAAGGTCAACTGACGGACGAGAAGGGCAAGCTTAGGGGGGTGGTCGTGTGTGCGGGTGTGTGTGTGGGTGATTTATATGGTTAGATGTTATTAGATTATATTAAACTTTTTGAATTAATGGCAGTGATTAAGGTGACAAACAATTGAATAAGGATATTTCGATTCGTGACTGAGATTGGCATAAGAAAAGATTAAGATAATAATTAGGTTTAATGTTGTTATTTATGTAAATTATTACGAATTATTAAATTAATACTAAATGAGATTGAAAATTATAAATAGTAAGTTTTACAGAATGAAATCAAATTTAGGCAAGTTCAAGTATTAAATTGGAGGATCGATAGGAGTAGAACGGTGAAAGACTCTAGATGAGTAATTATGCTCAAGTTAAAGTACTATTTCATGTTTTAAATATATTCATGCTTACAGTTTTTCAATGTTATGTTGTATATCAATGAATAAAACAAATATAACTCTTCATATTGTTAATCATAAAGTTTGCATGTTAAATATTAGTCTTAGTAGTTGCATGATAGTTTATTTTAAAAAATTATTAGCTTATTTCATTACATATAAATTTAATAAATGTGTATTTTATTGGTGGAACAATATAAGACGTCTCATAAGATGTCTCGTAAGAACGTATAATATGAAAAATGTAGTGTATATATAAATGCAAGTATGTGCATACTAAAATGAGTTGACCCCCTTATAGTACAGGCAAGGGATGTTAGTGCTCTCGCGCGCATAGATGTTTTCCCACCATCTCATGTAATTGTAATGTTTAGTAGCTAACTACTATGCGAACAGAAGGATATCGACTAGAGGCAAGTAGATATCTTTCCACCTCAAACAATCATGTAAATTATATCATGAACCACTGTGTTGATGAGATAATATCAGCCAGGAGTTTAGGTTATGCTTTAACGGTATTTTTCAGACATATGTGCGTTAATAATATAAATTAAAAGAAAAATTAAAGACTAAATTATGGGAAGTAAAGTTAAAATTAATGCATAAAAAGTTTAAGTTATTTCCATTAAGTAAATATCATTCACACATACATTAGATTATCATAAAATATTTTATAGAAAAATGAAAGGTTGACATGTATATTATTTTCTCTTCATTGGGTTATTGTAGTTTAAAAATGTGATTGCTTCTTGGTTATTTTTAAATAACACATTATATTAATTTAATATTTTTTTCAGAATTTAAGTTATTGAATAAAATGAATATAAGAGAAATCAATGTGTACAGACGGCGAGGTCAACAACTTGAAAGACAACTATTTTTATTTAGTTAATTTAATTATTTTTTTAATAGCACTTTCAATTAATAATTGGATATTAAACCGTCAGTAATAAAAAATATAAGATAAAATTAATTTCACTGTCCGATCATCCATTTCCATTTTGGTTAATTGCAAGTCTCAGATCAGGTCGTGACAAAAGTAATATGAGAGGCAAAGTTTAGATTAAACAACATGAATCATAATGAAAGAGTCAATTGAATGATTTAATTAAGTTATAAATAATAAAAATTAAAATTTTAACTAAGTAATTAAATTAATTTTTTGTTATAATTTTAGAATTATGGTTGATTAGGAAGATGAGGTCATGGATGATATCATTAAATTTGATATGCCACAAAATGTCATAGTTTGTGCTAATGTATTTTCTGATATGATGAATATTGTGATTCAGCTGATTAAGTATTATCAATCCAAAGCTAGTAGTAGTAAGAAACATTGATGGATAAGTACTTGAAACTCTTTTAGGATATGAGACCACATTTGTTTTCTGAAGAGAGGGGGTTCAGTGGATACTGAGAACTAGCTATTAATAGTGGATAAAATTATAGATGTGTTGTCCTGTCCACCAGAAAGAATGGTCGCACTTGCCACTTTTGCATTTGAGGGGGAAGTTGAGAGATAGCGGCAATGATAGATACATGATGAGTTTGGAGCTAAAAGAAACAACCACTGGTTCCATGGGACAACTTCGTGAGAACCTTCTAAAATTGATTTGTACCACTGTCGGCCAGAAGACAAATGCAGAATAAATTTACTAGGTTAGTGCAGGGAAATTTACTATATTGTCAAGATATGCAACACAGCTCATTCCAAATGCAGATGAGAAATGTCATGAGTTTCGTTCTGGATTGAAGAATCTAATCAGGCAGCAACTAGTGTCACTTGAGATTGAAGACTACTCAGTGCTAGTGGAGAGGGCTAGACGGGTGAAACTTAGAAGAGTAAGGACACACAGAAGAGAAAATTTTTTGAAGAAGTAGCATCAACAGTTCATTCTAGAAAGTCTAATGGGAAGAAGATAAAGTCTTGCACTAATTGAGTTATTAGTTAGAGCAGCAATAATATAGCCTTGTACTAAGTGTGGGGAACAACATCGTGGTGAAGGTCTATTTGGTTTGAAGATATGTTATTTATGCATATAGCATGATATCAGATGAGAAACTAACCTAATTATGCTCAAAGATCCACTTCAAATGCTGGCACAGGAAAGGATTCAGCTCAAAAGAATTTTCAGGAGGGATTCACTTTTAGAAGTAGTCATCAAAGGATGGCAGAAGCTGATACTATGAATCATAAGTACAACCAAGGCAGAACACTAGACCAAAAGTTTATTCCTTAACTCACCAAAAGAGCATGATGCTATTGATATTGATACATAAAGTTTGTTGAAGTGATTTGTTGTTTGAGTGTCATGATGGTTATCTGGTATTGAGTATCTTTATGTACTTCAATTTCAGAAGCTGAGTACTGTGTTAGTTATGTTGCATTGTTTTAGATGTAGTGTTATTTTAATTATGTTTATCTTGTTTCAGATGTTTGGGAATTGTTCCATTAAATTAACATACCTCAGATGTTGTATTTATCTCTTTTTCTTTTCTTTGCTCATTTAACAAAAATTAAACTTTAGTTTATATTTCATCTGCAAAATGTTTATGCTTATGTAAGTTCGGGAATTTTGAGAACAAAAATTTATAAGGTGGGAAGATTGTAATAACAAGGTAAAATAAGAGATACATATATAATAACTGAAAAATAATAAAATGAAATATAAGAAAAAAAACTTTAAAAGGCTTGGGTCAATTTGAGCATAACCGTCTTGACGATTTGGATTTAATGATTCAAGCATCCTCATATGTAAAAATCAGAGATTGAACTAATTAGAAAGAGCGAGAGGCCAAAATGAGAGACATTGAAGGAAGAAAGAAGGAGAAGAGGAGGAACCCAAGTTGAATGAGGAGACGTTGAAGGCGTCCTGTACAAAGAAAGATGGCATCGCGTTCGGTTGCTTGTGAGAAGAAAGTGGTGACGGCAGAGCCAAGGTCTACGCAAGAGACAAAGCCAATGAAGGGAGGTCGCGGCTCTCGTGTGAGAAGAAGAATTCCTACTGGAAGATCAACCAACCGAAGAACAGGGTAAGCTTAGGGTTATGTTTAATTAGATATAAATAAATACATATAGAAAATAAATTTAGCTAGATGTTATTAGATTATATTAAACTTTATGAATTAATGTGACAAGCAACTGGATAAGCAAATTATGGTTTGTGACCAAGATTTACATAAGAAAAAGATTAAGATAATGATCAGGTTTGATGTTGTTATTTATATAAGTTATTTCGAATTGTTAAATTAATATTAATTGAGTTTGAAAAATCTGAACAGTAAGTTTTATTAAATGATAACAGATTTTAAAAAAATCACGTAATTAAATTGGAGGATCAATGAGTAGAATGGTGAATTAATTGAGATGAATAATTACAATTTCAAGTTGCAAAAATATTTCATATTCTTAAATATATCATGCTTACAATTTGTCCCTATTATGTTGTATTGGTACTTGTGGATGTCTTTTTTTCCCTTTTTCATACATACGATGGTTGGCCGCTGCTAGGATCCCTTCATTAGCTCTATATAGAAATGAAATTAAACGAGACGATTCTTCATATTCTTAATAATAAAAGTAAATAATTGTTGTCTTAATAGTTGCATAATAGTTTATTTTTTAAAAAAATATATTAGTTTAATTCATGACCTATAGATTTAGTAAATGTGTATTTTATTGATAGATAAACATATGTTATCCTATAAAATATCTCATAAAAATATATGATATGAAAAATAAAATAGTATGTATATGAATGTTTGAATGTGCATTTAAAGAGGAGCAGTTCACCCTTTTATGATAGAGGTGGGGGTGTCAGTGTACCCAGGGAAGTAGATATTTTCTTACCACCTCAGAAATTTGTGATGTTTAGATCGATAACAGCTGTGTCGAAAAGAAAATATCGGTCAGGGGAACGTAGGCGTCTTTCCGCTCAAACAATCATGTAAACTAGATCACAAACCACTATGCCGACGAAATAATATCAATCAAGAGTATGCTAGGTTACGTTTTGACAGTGCTCCTAAGATAGACGTGAATGTTAATAGTCTAAAAATAAAAGAAATATAAAGACCAAACTTTGAAAAGTAAAGTTAAAATTAATGCATATAGAAGTTTAAGTTATTTCCATTAATTAAATATTATGAACACATACATTAGATTATTATAAAAAAATTACAGAGATATAAAAAATCGACATACATATTATTTTCTCTATCTTAGTTTATTGTAGTTTAAAAATGTGATTGCTCTCGGGTTATATTTGGATAACTCATTATGTTATTTTAATATTTATCTAGATTTTAAGCTTTAAAATATAATAAATAAAAGAAAAACCAATTTGTACAAAATACAAAGTCAGCAACCTGAAAGGCAGCTATTTTTATTTGACCAATTTAAATATTCTTTTAATGGCTTTTTCAATTAACAGTTGAATATTAAATTGTCAGTGATAGAAATAGAATAAAAAAAATTAATTCTACCGTCCGATCATCCATTATCATCTTGGTTAATTCCAAGCTCGGGGTTGAGTCGTGATAAATGGTGAATAAGTTGAGTCCCACTTCTCAGAAATATTCTCAGTCATATTTCGTAACTTGTTTGAAGAAGGGGAACAGGGTTAGCATTAACAAAAGATGTCTCATAAAGTTTTCTATTATGGATCAGTTGCATGACTAGGTGTGTTATGATGTTATACCCATGGACACTTGTCACATCTGTTGCGGAGACAGTGGTAGTTAATCCAAGACTAAGTATGATGGGTTCAAGAACACTTCTTTATCGAGGATGGAAAGCGCATAGTTCTCCTACCTTCTGCAAAATCTGAGATTATAAGTGCTCTTGGCATGAGAGAGGCACTATGGGGTCAATTTTGATGATTTTAGAGGATGTTGAAACAAAAGAACCGGCATCAGACATGAGGCAGTAACTATGAAGAGAATTTCAGGATATCGTGACCAATAACTTACTGCTAGGGCTGCCACCATTAGGAGAGGTTCAGTCGATCTTCACTTCAAAGAGGAATGAGCCAACCGTGGGTTACTTTTGGAGAACTCTGCGAAGTATGATTGGCCCAAAGTTTCAGTTCATTTCAGCAATGTACCCACAAATGTTATGGTTGGATCGATGGAGATAGTTACTCGCAATTTGGAAAACCATCTCAGGTGTTTTGTGGGGCAGTGCTTCCGTCAGTGTGATCCAAGTGCTTCTAGAGACGCAACTGAATACACTCCAATTCCAAGAGGTTACGACGGGTTTGCCACCTTTAACGTTGCCTAATTGGCATTATATCATAAGTCAAAAGTTTCGGTATACGAGGTCAAGGCTCCACAAAACCAAATAAACTCCAATGAATGTTAGGCAGAACCCTAGACTGGTTCAATCCAAGTTGAGAGAGGGTCAATCGGCCCTCTTTAGGCATAGGGTTACCACCCAAATGGAGTAGGGGCCCACTCCTAATTGTAGCATATCTATTTAAGTATTTCTTTGATGTTTAGGGTTTAATTTTTTGTTGAGTTGAACTTGTAGAGCCATCGGCTCCTCTTTTCCCAACCTTTTTTTTTTGTGTCACTCCCATATCTCCTTCATTGTTTGCCTATTGTCACCGCCCAGAAAACAATAAACTTTTTATTTCTAACTCCAACCAGTTGGTGCCACCCAAAGACAACAACAATCTTACCTGCCATATACATATTAACATACATACACACTCTACTCTAAATATAATAATCCAACATACTTAGTGTGTTGAATGATTTTTTTATTGAGCTTTGGCATTTTAACTTTCATGGCATATCCTGTCCATTTGTCATGTTCCTTCTAATGTTTTACAACAAGAAACAAAGTTATTATAAAAATTTAGTGATAATTACTCACTCTTCTTCCATAAAATTTGTTCAAGTGCTTCTTTTCTTTTAAGTTTTCCTATTTTACACTAATATATTTCAATGCAGATACCACTTTTATGTCTTCTGCATTTCATTTTCCATTTTCACCAGTCATATCCCCTTGTCCATGTCCATATCCATGTCACGTTTTAGTAATTTGAATCTATGATTTAACAAACAAAAGAGTGAAAGAAGTTTTTGATAAAAGTTTATATCATCAATTAAAATACTATAGTTTTGACCTTCAGATCACGCTTAACAAAAATAACCCGACAAACAATAGCTTGAATCGTGTTGTGCATGGGAACAGCTAATAAAGAACTAAAGCCAATTTCTCTTATTGGAACAAGCAAAGTTTAACTTGAATTGAAATTTTTCAGAAGTTGTATGATAATATGGAGACTTAGTTTTGGTTGGTCAAATAGATGCAACAGAACTTTATGCAAATAGAATACATAGAAAAAAATATTGATATGTCTAGCTATCATCTAAGAACCATTACTTCAAGTAATGTGCTCCTTCAAGTACATTTACCATATCATACGCGGCCACAAAGTGAAAATATATAATGAATTATGATGTTCTATTGTACTTTTAAATTTTTTATGTTTATTTTTTATAATCATAAAATCTATTAATTTTTTATGCTACAAATAACTAAATACAATTTTATAGCATTATTCATTACATGAAATAAGTACACAAAATTATTATTGAAATCAACATCCATACCTATAATAGGTTTTAATACAAAAGCATTGTAATTTAGAATTTCATGCAGTGTGAAATATGATCAATGTTATAATACATTTCTACAATGACATATTCATCAAAAATCATTTCATCACTTACACTTCATGTTTCATTAGATAAAACAGCAGATGCACTGAAAAAACCCAAAGTTCTATTTCCCTCAACTCTAATTTCTCACTAAATTAAGGTTCCAACTTTTTACATAAGGGAAATAAACAAAGAGTTCAAGCAGAAATATACCTCCGGAAGAACACGAAAATAATGCAAGTCCCCACCTATGATCTGAAATGGTTTTCCTTCTCTCCAGAACATGTCATCAGCTATTTTGAAGCCACGAATATTATCCTGGTCAATTAAGGCAAATAATAGTAACACGCATTCATCATAACAACTAAGTAAAGCACATTCAGAATCAAATACACAATCCATATTTACAGGCCTATGCATGCATGGCGAGAAAATGTGCGAACATGCTTTCTCTGTGTGTGAAAAGGATAGGAAGCATACAAAATTAAAGAGAAGAAGAGTTGGAGAGAAAAATTTAGCATACAGACTGAGGTGGAGGGGTAAGAGCTTATGTGAAGAGAGGTAGCAAGGAAGGCCAACGGAAAGGTGAGAAAAGAGTGCTCTTTCTTAAGTTTTCTATATTTTTTTGGGGAAATTTTGGGAGAATGCAAATTCAAAAGTATTTATTCATTGAAAATGCAAGTCATGTGTACTGATAATATTTATTAATTTATGCCTTATTTTTCAATTTTCTGGTTTGAATTGAATATGATAATACTAAGATGTTGGTGCCTATGAAAATGGTATGCATTCTCTGGTGTTTTAATTACCTTGTTAGATTTGGATTAGTGCTGCAACTTTTAATTCAGCTCTCAATGGATTTCCCAATATAATTGGCCTCTTATGCATATTTCAGCAAATATAGTTCTCTATCTTGCCCATTCAACGAGTTGGAAGTTTGTTGTTGTTATTGCCGATTTGGTAAGTTATTATTGATTTCGAAACAAGGGTTGTGTCAAAAATCACCCAAATCATAAAAATCAGAACGTAATCAGTAAAATTTATTCATTTTATTTTAGTAAATCTTTGACATTTTGTCTAAATCGGCTTATTTGGTTTGGTTTAAGTTTGAAATCTTATAAAACTAAATAAATCAAATTAAACTGATTAAGCATACTCATAATTAAGAATGATAAAAGACGCATCTTGTTGCCAAACCAAACCTAAAGATTAAATTTAAAGCACATTTACCAAATCAATTTGGTTCATAATATCATGAAGCCACATAGATGCTTTATTTATCCATCATTTTAAAACAAACTTATTGAATAAAATAAGTTCAGACCATTGAAAAAATTTTGAAACCAAAGCAAACCAGCTCTGGCTGACAAACTAAATCCTAAGAAGCTATGCTCTTAAACTAAAAATTTAACTGAAAATAAATCAGACCATTTGATTTGATTTTAGTTCAAGTTTAGTTAAAGGTTAGGATTAGTTTAGCTTTAAATACTAGTCAATTTGGAACCAAACATGATTTGATACTGTAACGTGGAACTTTTTGTGTTGATTTGGAATTAAAAGTTGTTGTCTTTGATGAAATCCACGTACGTTGGAATGAAAACTCATAGTATTTAACCAAACTTTATATTGTTTACAAATATTACTAATTATTGGCCATTTCAGGTTATAAGGGTTGACCTACCCTTGCTAGATAAAGGAGTTGGCCTTTCAAAGATTGGTCAACTAGCCTTTGATTAGAACAACCAAGTCTTTGAAGCATTCCTTAGTCAATCAGCATTTTGTTGGTTTATTATTTTTCATCAATTATATGGGTAGAGCACCCCTTTTGTCACCAATCAAAGGTTGGTCGACCAAAAGAAAACCTATTCAATCATTTGCCCCTCCATTATTCTATTTAACTCAGTTGAGACATTTAAAATTAAAAACATTAATTTTGCTAATAAAATGATATCCTTCTCTATATGATTAATATGTTTGGAACACTAAAAACAAACTTAGGAAGAGTGGGTAGGTTTGTAGATAGAGAAGTAACCCTTGCCAATAATTCCCAAAGAACATGAACCGAGCAATGAGTAATGTAACACTATTAAAACATCGTCTTACCCAGTTGAAACAGTGCCACTCATGCGGTTCCTATTCCTAATTCATATGTATTTACATATCTAACAACTGAACTTTACTTTTTACATTTATACCACTCAATTCTTTCATATCACGTCACAAAATACCATTTTAACTTTTAAAAAGTGAAATACACCTTTTAAGCACGCGACATTTATTTAAAATTTTAAGTTTATGTGTTAGATATGTAAATACATAAGAATTAAATGGTATGTATGTGAATCTTCTTAGTTTTTCCTCGTCAATAAAAACAGAGAATAATCACTGTTCGCCAGCAGTCCAGCACAAACTCCCATCCTCATAGATAAACTAAAGCAACCATCCCTCAGAAGCAGGAAAATATTACATCAGGACTCCTAACGTAGAGCTACGTTCGGAATCCACTGATATGCAGACACGTGGAGGTGACAGAAAAATTTAAGAAAAAAATTGTTTTAGTTCAGAAGAATATTCCTCCCGTGTTATTCCGCATTATTCAGGTGTAGGTGTTATTGTGGTGGTATTCATGTGTTATTGTGTTATGGGAATATTCTAGATGTTACAATAACACAATGACACATCAATATCACCACAATAACACCTGAGTAACGCGGAATAACACAGGAGGAAATTTTTTACTCATAAGCAAGCATAACTACTTGTAGACCACCAACAACATCTATTCCTCTGAACATATATAGAGAGAAGGAGGCAGGAAAAAAAATTTCAGCCACAACATGCAGAAGCAGTCGATCTTTCAAGGGGAAAATACGTAGCATGAGTCCTTTCCCACTACTTTTGCGACGATCGATCACTAACAGTCAGCTCAGATTCACATTATGTATCTATTTGGTTGAAATATCACTAACTTAAATCCTATTTTCCACCTGCTTCAGATCAAGTTTCAGAAAGTAACATTTATAAGATCTACAATACTTTTATTCACTGCGCATCTTATTCTCTTCCATTTAAATCCTAAATTAAAAAAAAAAAAATCTACAAAATAATGTACTACAATTTAATCAGTTTAAACTACCTCCATGGCAAACAGTTTTCATGATTCAGCACCTTCAAAAGTTACTAAACCCTACTTGCACCCAAACAGGCTGCAAAAAGGAAGGCAACGGATCAACCTATAACAGAAGATTCTCGAATTCAGTCCAGGATTTGAGTCCAACCGGAAGATAGAGTCGATTGATGCTTACTAAACAGCTGCCAGAGAGTAATTGAAAGCTGAGAAATCCCCATGGCATGACCAACATCAATAATAAGAACTAAGAAGGAACATATTCATCTATAGAGTAATTAGAACAGGTGGCGGGTTTCAAAAGAATGGTTCACCTACCTTGTGAAAACCATTAGCACGAGAAGAATCGGAGCCGGAAAGGCTGGTAAGGGAAGCGAGAGCTGGAATGAATGAACCAAGAGAGAAGACGGCGAGCAGAAAGAGAAGGAGGAGCTTCGAGATTCCTAGGCAGGCCATCGCCGGCGAAGGTGCTCCCCTCCAGCCTGAATAGGGAGTTCTACACTTGTTTTTTTGGGCTAGACCAGCTAGACCCGCCGGAGCCGTGAATAAAAGTATTGAAGATCTTATAAATATCTAAGTAAATAAATATAAGGAAACATTTTAATATAGTTATTTTATTTTAAATATAAAAAATATTTTAATATATTTATTTTATTTTAAATATAAATATAACGAAACATTTTAATATATTTATTTTAATATTTAATATTTAAAAAAATATTTTAAAATATTCATTTTCTTATAAGGAAATCAACATAAAGAAATATTTTAATATATTCATTTAATTTTAAATATAATAAAATAAAAATAATGAAATAAATATAAGAAAATATTTTAATAATACCACAATAGTACCACGATATTATTCGAGTGTTATTGCAGTGTTATTCGAAAGTTATTGCGTTGCTATTTAGGTGTTATTCGTTATTATTTGAAGTAACTCAATGTGTTATTAGTGTATTTTCAGCGAGGGTGTTATTCGAGTAAATTTATGATGTTATTATGGTGTTATTGTGATATTATTGAGGTGTTATTCAAGTGTTATTTGAAAAACTCTGCAGAGTTATTGGATTATTGCGCAGTACTATGAGTGTTATTATAGTGTTATTGTGGTGTTATTTTACTAAAATTGCAGCTGCTGTATTGTGTTATTCTAGAGTGAGTTATTAGTGTTAAATTTTAATTTATGGCTCACATTTATTTTAATAATTTATGAGATTTATCATGATAACTTAAGTTATTTATTTTCTTAACTCATAACTTATGTTATAACTTATGATAACTTATGATATTTATTTTTGTAACTTATGATAGCTTAAGTTATTAATTATCTTAACTCCTAACTTATGTCATAACTTATGATATTAATTTTGTAACTCGTGTAATCCCTAAAATGAATAGGGGTTACTACCTTATCTCATTAATTTTAATAATAATAATCAATTTATTTATTAAATTTTCATAAATTATATTGGTTAGTAGCCCCATGATGGACGTTGGTTAAATAGAGCATAATTCAGAGAATAAGTTGTCTCTCTTCTTAACACACCCTCTACATTTCCCTCCATAAAAAAGTACAGAAATTTTCAAGGGATTAGATAGAGAAACTCCATCTCTTCAAGATTAAATTTATTCAAGATCAAATTTTAACATCATGAATACGGGTATGTTTTACTTTATTATAGATATGTAAAAAATCATGAATTTAAAGAATCTTAGCTATTATGTATTTTTAAAATTTGTGTCATAAATGTTAAACATGAATTTCTAACATGTGGTATCATAACCTTGATTACTAAATTTATGATTTTTCATATAATTTTATTTATGTTAATGGTATTAAATTTCCGTTGTGAATTAGATCAATAATGCTAAAGTAAATTGATGTGATTAAAATTATTATTTATTTAACGTAGATGTTATGTTTAGTTTGTTAGTCACCAAAGTGGCCAAATTAATAAGTTTAATAGACGTTAAAATAAATAAATTCAATTGCTCACGAGTATGCAATGCTTGTTATGAAATAATTTAACATTTCATTAAAAAATATTAAAATTCATTGATTATAAAATATTTCTAGATCGCTCAAAGATTGATCATTTATTTTATAATCTTTGAATATGATTGTAGTTTATTTATATACTTAGTTAAGATATGTTTATATATCCAAAGATAATAGATGTGTCTAATTTGAGTATAAAATAATTACCAATTATATTAAATTTAAGTCAAGCATCAAGTATGTTTATTATCATGTATTGTTATATCACTTAAATGAGATTTCAATACACTATTATTATTATAATTATTATTTTAATATGATTTTATATGAATATCTATGTAAGTTTAATGTTTGAAGCATTAATATACAAACATGTTTTATTTATTTGCAATAACTACTTCTGTTTCTTCTCATTTGCAAGCTACATCTGTTCAAACTTTAAATGGGTTTAATTTCTCTGAATGACATGAACAAGTCCAGTTTCACCTTGGTGTGTGTTCTGGATCTTGATTTGACACTCACGATTGAGAAACACCATGCTCTTACTGATTATAGCAATGTTGAGTAAATATTTTTTTATAAAGTTTGGGAAAAATCAACAGATTAAGCTTAATGTTTATGTGAATGACTATAACAAATAACATAAAATGTACATTTTCTAACACCGAAAGTGCTAAGAAATTTATGAAATTTGCTGAGAATTGTTTTCAGTCTGACTCTATTGATAAGTCTCTTGCTTTGACACTATTGAGCAAGTTAACCAACATGAAATTTGATGGTTCTCGTACTATGCATGAGCATGTCGTTGAAATGATGAACATAGCAGCAAGACTTAAGACCCTGTGAATGGAAGTGAATGAAAATTTCCTTGTACAATTTATCATTAACTCATTGCCTCCTAAGTATGATCAGTTTTACATGAACTACAACACTATGAAAGATAAGTGGAATGTGAATGAACTACAATGTATGTTCATTCAAGAGGAAGCAAGGTTTAAGAAATGAACAAATCATTCCATTAATCTCATGGGTCACCAAAGAAGAGCTGTAAAGAAACCTGGAAAGAAGAATGTAAAGGGCAAACAAGGACCATTAAAGTTTAATGTGTCGTACCCCAATTCACAAAGAGGAACATAAAGGAATTAAGTGTCACTTTTGCAGAAAGCCTATAAACTATAAAAATGTGTATCAAAAGTGCATAAACTGGTTCGAAAAGAAATGTAAACTTTATGTTTCTATATGTTTCAAATCAAATTTGGCAGAAATTACTTATAATACCTGGTGGATTGATTCTGGTTGTACCACTCATGTTTCTAATACAATGTAGGGATTCCTTACAACCTAAATCATAAGCCCAAATGAAAATTTTTTCTTCATGAGAAATCGAGTCAAAGCGTCAGTTGAAGCTACTGGAACTTATCGGTTGATTTTAGATACTAGACATCATTTAGACCTTTTTCGAACACTTTATGTCCCTTCTGTTTCTCGTAATTTGATTTCATTGTTTAAACTTGATTCTATTGGATACTCCTTTAAATTTGGAAATTGTTATTTCAGTTTATTTGAACACAATCATCTCATAGGTTCTGGTATTATTTGTGATGACCTATATAAGCTTAAACTCGATAACCTTTTCGCTGAAACTTTGATGATTTTGCATCATAATATTGATACTAAATGTGGTTTTATGAATGAAAGTTCAGCTTATTTGTGGCATAAATGTTTGGGTCATATATCTAAAGAAAGAATTGAAAGATTAGTAAAGAATGAAATCCTTAATAAATTGGATTTTATTGATCTTGACATTTGTGTGACTTGTATTAAAGGAAAACATATAAATCACACACTTAAGAAAACCACCACAAGAAACACACAGCTTCTTGAAATTATACACACCGATATTTGTAGACCTTTTGATGTTTCATCTTTTGGTGGAGAGAAACATTTTATCACCTTTATTGATGATTTTCACGTTATGGGTATGTTTACTTATTGCATAAAATATCTCAAATTATAGATGCCTTAAAGTTATATAACTGAGGTTGAGAGTCAATTAGATAGAAAAGTGAAAATTATATGGTCTGATAGAGGCGGTGAATATTATGGAACTTACAATGAATATGGACAATGTTCAGACCCATTTGCTAATTTTATTCAAACTAATGACATATGTGCTCAATACACTATGTCAAGAACACCACAACAAAATGGTATTACAGAAAGGCAAAATCGTACTCTAAATGAAATGGTTAGGAATATGATGAGTAATTCTTCTTTACATTCATCATTGTGGATGCATGCTATAAAGACCACTACATATTTGTTAAACAGGATTCCTAGTAAGGCGATTCCAAAGACTCATTTTGAACTGTGGACATGAAGGAAACCTAGTTTAAGACACCTGCGTGTTTGGGGTTGCCCAGCGAAAATAAGGTTATATAATCCACATGAAAAGAAACTGGACTCAAGAACAACCAATGGTTTCTTCATTGGTTATCCAAAAAAATCTAAAGAGTATAGATTTTATTGTCCTAACCACAGTGCCAGAATTATTGAAATTGGAAATGCCAAGTTCATTAAAAACGGTGAAGTTAGGGTGAAGTTAGTGGGAGTTTGGTAGTGGGAGTTTGGAACCACATAAAGTAGAGATCCAAGAAATTAGGGTTCAAGTTCATTTACCCAAAATTTCTTCTCAAGTTGTTATTCTTACAGTTGTTGAACAGTTTGACAGCTTACAAGAACAATAATTATATGATCAAATACCCCACAATGAAACTGTCAGTAATGAACCTACATTAGATGAACCACATAAAGTAGTACCTAGAAAGTTTCAACGAGAAAAATGAACGATTATGTGGTTTACCTACACGAATTTGAATTTGACTTAAGAGTTAATGAAGATCCAGTTTAATTTTCACAAGCCATAAAAAGTGCAAATTCTTCTAAATGGTTAGATGTAATGAAAGATTAGTTGAAATAGATGGAACACAACAAAGTTTGGGATGTCGTTGAATTGTCTGAAGGTTGTAAAAGAGTCGGGTGTAAATGAGTCTTTAAGACTAAGCGTGGCTCAAATGACAATATTGAACGATATAAAGTCAGACTTGTTGCCAAAGGTTTCACTCAGAAAGATGACATCGACTATAAAGAAACATTTTCTTCGGTTTCTAAGAAAGATTCATTTAGATGAGCTCATTATGATTTGGAGTTACATCAAATGAATGTAAAAATTGTCTTTCTAAATGGAAATTTAGATGAAGATGTCTACATGAGTCAACCTGAAGAATTTTTGGTTGAACGAAAGGAACACATTGTGTGTAAACTTAAGAAATCAATATACAAACTTAAGCAAGCTTCCCGACAATGGTATCTTAAGTTCAATGATATTATCACGTCCTTTGGATTTAAAGAAAACATTGTTGATCGGTGTATATATCCAAAGGTCAGTGGAAGAAAAATTATATTTCTTATTTTGTATGTTGATGACATCTTGTTGGCTACTAATGATCTTGGCTTATTATTTATTATATGAAACATATTATAT